CTGTTCTAATCTATTGGTTATTCACGACATTTACGTGAGATTTCCCATTCGATGGTGGATAGGATTGAAACACGAGCTTCGTATAATATCGACGTGAAACGATAATTAGTTACAGCGAATTATACCCTCGTGTTCGATGCTCGCTGTGTTCGTACTGGTAACTAATTGCGCATGAGGCCTGAAGGAGTTTTTGGACTATCGATAGTGAACGAGTCACTGGAATATAGCTCGTGACTTTGCTGGCCATGATTTATATTCAGGAGTCACTTCGAGGTTGGACAGAGGTCATCGAGGTTGTGCATTTACGATCGGGGTCGTTTGGAACTCACAGGTGGGTCATCTGTGTCGTGACATTTATGGTCGAGGTCAGTTGAAAGTCACGAGGGGTCATCGAGATCGTGTCATTAACCGGTAGAGTCGCTTGGAGGTCACGGAAGGTCATCGACGTCGCGTTATCCGATGCTAGGGCCACGAGAGGTCATCGAGGTTGTGCAATTGACGTTTAGTGTCATGGTAAAGGTCGTATGCGGGTCATCACGGTCGTGGCATTGGTAGTTAAGATCATTTGAGTGCTCCGGAGGTCATCGAGGTCCTGTCAGTGGCAGTCAAGATCGTTCGAAGGTTACAAAGCGGCCATAGAGATCGTATTGCGGTCAAAGTCATTTGACGATCCATGGAAATGATTTCAATGGAAACGATGTCAAAATACAAATGTCTGTTGTATTAATTGATATTATATTATCGATTAATTGATTGTATTATACTTCGTCATAGATTGATTTTCTTTAGAATACTTCATTATAAAGTGATAATTCACCATATCAGAATAAATACGTAAGAGAGACTAAATTGTAGATAGGGACAGTAGTTGAACTATTTTCAAATGTGTTCATTTGACAATAAGTAGGAGAACAAGAATTATCAACACAGAAAATGTCGAGTAATGTAAACAGTTATCACATTGAATTCATAATATTAATCAGAAAGTCACCATTTTCTAACAACATTAAAATTAAAATATCTCCTAAATTAATGACTTTTTAACATAAATGAGTTCCTACCTTTTTGCAAAGAATATGAAGGAACATTAGCTGGTGTAATAAAAAATATATGCTTCCATTTAAAAAAATATTAATGACCTTCAACGTTACCTATCACAACTATGAATTCATCACTCAATTTAACCTCGTTAAAAAGAAGGAGAGAAATCTCTGATATTCTTTTTCTTTATAAAGTGCTCAATTGTCTTATAAATTGTTCTGACATATTAGAGATATTCTCAATCAATGTTCCAATTTTTCATTTAAGACGATACAACTTTCTTCAAACAACATAAAACCTATTTTACATACCACTCAGGTATTAATAGAATGATTATTAATGTTAACAACACTTATCCTACCCTAGATCTATTCAGTCAATCTCTTCACTCTATAAAACAGCTACTACATTGCACCTCTTTGTAAACAAATTTTTTTTTTCTTATAATACTTCTATTTTTATTTGTTACTATTAATTTTATACCTCACTGTAATAATTTTCTTCTAATTTTTCTAATAGGTTAATCCCATATAAATAAATAAATAAATAAATAAATAAGTGTCCTTTACACATGCATCTACAAAAATAATAATACTATCAGAATATGCCTCTCTCAAAACCATACAACTTCATCCCAAATATTTTTCGATATGCGTAATAGTAATGACGTATATCTAGGTGGTAAATACGTGGTGACCCACCCTGTATATATCGTATCAACTTATCGATTGCTTTATTTTCGTGTTTTTAATTCGGCGCGTGAGCCATGAGTCCTCTTGGTCTGTTTCATCATTGAATCTTTGATGAAGCTTAATTCCTGTGTACCATCGTTAGCCTCCGCCGGAAACTGTTACTTCGGAAATAGGAACTCGCGTAATCTATCGAGACTTGCCTTGTCCGGCTGAAAATACCTCTAGTACCGGTTTCTGCGACGAGTAGAATTATTTTCCGTTGAAGTCACGGATTTATCGATTTCTCGAGTACCACTCGAGCTGTACCGCGTTCATTTTTTGGCGTCCATTCCACTGATTCGTTTGAAAGACTGATTCGGATTGCGGTGCCTGGCGCCGAGTCGATCCTCGTGCCTGTGAATTCGAAGCTCGATAACTTGAATAGTTTGTTAACCATATGGATCTTTCTTTCGCTCTTGCGGTTTAATTGATAACGCAGTTTGATTGTCTGATCGCTGGAATCGAGTGCATTTTGTTGCTCCTTAATTGATTCGCTCGGTATGTAACGAGCCTCCATGTTGGAAAATAAATTGTATATCTGTATCGAGTATCCTACGCGCGTGTCACGAATATTCTAGAATAATAGATAGAATTATTTTCTTCTTTATTTATAATTTAATATAAATAACTTATCAGATTCTTAGATTATCTGTACTAATTTTCGTCATCTTACATTCTATTTACTATATATTCAAAGTGTTTTAAAAGTACAATTCAATCTCAGAAATTAGTATTATAAGACGTAAATTCAAGTCTCCAAATATCCTGTATATTTTCAATTTATCGAGAAGATATTCTTATATATAAAACATTAAATATCTATGAAACATTTATCAAATATTCCTGAAAATTTAAACATAATAATCCATATTTATTTATTTATTTAATAATAATCTACGGGTAGTAGAATCCATTAGTGAATAAACAAGAAATAAAGATCCATCAGTTTGTTAGAGAAAGAAAGAATGTAGGTTATATATGGTACAAATGCCGATATAGTGGATATAAACAATTTGCTTAGAGATTTAAGATCTGGTATTTAAACGATGAGATACTATTACCAAAAAATTGAAGGTTTGATGAAAAATTGTTTGCAAGAATGCATATTCTATTGATAGGGTCTGCTGATTCAAGTCGTGCAGTATTATGCTGTTCAGGTATAAAGATTTGATAGTCTCTTAAATTTTTTGAAGAAGCATGAAAATTAATGAAAGATAATAATTCTAGATTACGTATAATAGCTTTTATAATTTTGAAGAGAAATAAAATGTCAGCAGCAATTCTTCTCGATTCAAAAGATTTAAGATTAAGCTTGCGTTGAACAGGTTCATAATCATGATCATAAATACTCATATAACGTCCAAGTTTATAGCCAGCCAATCCTAGAAATCTGTGTTTAATCTGTTCAATACGATATTTTTGACCAGCTTTAGTTGAAGGCCAAATCGTCGATGCATATTATAAACGGGACCTAACTAAGGTACTATATAAGAATCTTAACACTAGATTTACAAAATCCGTCAATTTGATAGATGGGTTGCTCCAATTATACGATGATAACAAATTTAGTTAACTTATATTAAGACTCTTAACCCTTTGTACTCGAGAGGTGATCTTCAGTCACCATTTCATAAAATTTGGAAGATCGATATTAATTAATATATCAAATTTAATGTAACGTAACAGTGTGCGAGGTATCGAAATCAAATAATTCTACAATTCTATTATACAATTCTTTATTTACTGCTCAAAAAGGTACCGTCAGTTTTTTAATAGAGAATCTTTGAATTTCTTCTCTTCTCTAGCCAAAAAATCGTCGAGTGCAAAGGGTTAATATTGTAATTGTTTTTAAATTAAACTAATAGTTAAAAAAAGAAAAGACACGTGGTTTACTTTACCTGTAAATTTGACAGGTGTCCGTAGAAATAGGTATACAGATAGCGTCTATAAACCTAGTGCTAAAGAGTTTACATTTTTGAAGGAGTTTAAATATTTATTTACTAATAATTATTCTTAATGGGAATCTAACGATTAGTCACAAATAAATGTATAATAAAAGAATACTGTATGAATTCTGTAAAAATACTGTATGTGGAAGAAAAGGGAATCGGACTAAATGTTTCCAAAAATACCAGCCATGGCGTACAACTTGTTCAAAATTACTTGCAAGCTAAAAGATCGCCGTACAAAACCGCCGGCCACGCTACCAGCATTGCACCATGCAAACACGACCACCATCCATCGCGCAGATAATGGAACACCGCAGATGTTTCTTCGCCATCCACGTGCGCCGACGAAGGGTCGAATTAACCGTGTTAAATCACCCGTTCTTCTTTTTCCGCATAAACCATAGCCGGGCTATAATTTCTAGACTCCCCTGTTCCGCGGCGTGCGTATTTTTTTTTCCCTCCCCTTCTTCGTAACGACCGTCCACCCTCTTACCCGCTCCTTGCCGGATGCAAACGGGCGAATGCATTTCCTCGGTCAGGGGCAGTTAATGGCTGAACTGCAGCCACCGAACTAGATGGCATTCCGCAGGATTTACGGGGCGACAGCTTTTACAGCCGCGTTTCGGTATTCGCAGTTTCGAACCGTAACATCCGCGCGATTTCACGCCGCGAAATCATGCCTCTATTTCCAATTGACAGGCCTTCGATCGATGTCAAAAAGCGCGATACTCGCCTAAAAGCTGCCACACGTAATTGCCGATTTACCGATGGCCCGTGTTTCCTGCGACCCTAAATGGTCTCCCTCCTTTGGTGCAAGGGGTGTGGATCTCGCGAGACGATGGACACTGATGTGTCTACTTTGCAGGTTTTATCTATTTTTGAGAATATATGGAATACTATTTGTCTATTGTGCAGTTTTAGTTTCGAAATTAATTTCAAAATTAATTTGGTTGGTTTTCATATTGATTTTTGATGGACCGTGTTTCCTGCGACTCTGAATGGTTCCTCTTTTGGTTCAAGGGGTGTGGCTCTCGTGGGACGATAAACACTGTTTATTTTGCACGTTTTATCTATCTTTGTGAATATATGGCATACTATTTGTCTATTGAACAATTTTAGTTTCGAAATTAATTTGAAATTTCATTGATCTTTATTTTTATACATATAGGGGTAGTGTTTTTTGGAGTATTGGGGATGTAGAAGTTTCTTGTTATTAATCGCGAAAATGATTTTCGTGGAAGTTATTCGAAATGTTAAAACGATGTATTTTGTGTTACAGCCAACCATTTTCGGCACTGTGGCCTCGGACCTGAACCCAAAGGATGGCAACAGTCGAAGGGTGAGTGTTGGATAACGACAAAATTTCATATCGATGGGGTATAATTAATTCTTTGACGCTCCTGTGTATCATTACTAATGAATTAAACGTGTGCTAATTAAATTTTGCTCGATATTAAACATTGTAAATTGTCGCTAATTTCTCAAAATGACGAATTTCCGATTTATTTTCTGTTTTAATACGGTTGAAATATGAATATTATTTTCGGATGATATATTTTATTAAAATGTTTTATATCATTTTACACGTTCACGTCGGAATAATTAGTTACCGTCAAACGGCAATTAGTAATTAATTAGTATCGAAATAATAATAGTAGCCGGCCATGTTTCGTCATTGTCTACATTCCAATATTTTATTTCCATAAATTAATAATAATGATCAAACAGGCCAGGAATTATTTCAAACAATAGACATATCTGGAAAAATATTTTGAAAAATATTTAAAAAAGAATTACCTATTATCTCTTGTACATAATTACGATATTACTAAATATCTTGATGCAAATTTTAATTTCCCACCTCTTCAATTTCCACCAACACACAATTACTTTATTATACAGTACAATTCTCTTTATTATAAATTAAAATATATATAAATTAAATATGTATTTCTGAAACATACATTTATTACATTTTCTCATAGCACTAACATTGCTAAGAATAATTTCGAGCCCTACATTCGCAATGAATCCGAAGAAGTATTATGCTCCCTCTCCGATAAATAAATCCGCAATTATGAGATAACGAGGAGAGTAATTACGAATCGAATATTCTAATAATTACGAGAAAGAGAAAGCAGGATTTTCTGGCAGAAAGGTAGAGGGATGTTCGTGCAAGAAAATCTAGGAAAATCTCCGTCTTGTTTTTCATGAAACGCGTCCCGTGAGATTCTTGCTCGACTCTTAATGGGTAAAAATTGCTGCTAAGTCGCTGTTCTGCTTCTCCCTCTTTAAACGCTCGAAGATAGAACGCCCTAGCGCCCTAATTAAAAGTAACTGCCGTGGCAAGCGAGTCTTTCAGTCCTGGAACCCTTTCTGCGGCCACCCTAACGCACAAAGTCGCTTTACGCCGTGCATAAATTTTTCCTAATTGCGAAATCATGCAGAATACGACGAATCCTTGGTACATCGCGTATAACATCGCGTGTTCGTGCTTGAAATCGTGTGCAATTTAAGACGTAGAATTATTTTACTTCGATATTCCACGTATAGTTGGGCAATTGTAAATTTGATATATTAATTAACATCCATCTTTAGAATCTGATTAAATGGCGAGTGAGAGGGGCCCCTCGAATGCAAAGGATTAAATCTCTAAGCAAATTGTTTATATCGGCATTTGTACCTTACGTAACCTATATTCATTCTCTCTCTAACAAACTGATGTATTTTTATTCTTTGTTTATACATTAATGGATTCTACTGCCCCTAAATTATTATTAAATAAATAAGTAAATATCAAAATTATTATTTTATTAGTGGTTTAGAGAAAGAAATTTTAGTAGTATTATTGTTTAAGGGCAAATTTACTCGAATTTACTACACGGTTTGTGTTTACCTGTTCCCAGTGTGAAAATTCGCAACTGAAAGTTTAAGTTCAACGTAAGCTTTCTTGCAAACACGCGCTGCCTCTGTTGGGCTGATGCCATAATCCGTGTCACGAGTGTGACACGATGTTATAAAGCAAAGGATTAAAACGTTGTGTAAGATTATTCTAAGGCACTAAAAATTTCCGCTTTTCACCCATAAAATATTCGCAAACAAACGTGAGGTATTAGTCGAGACAGGAATGAAATATTAGGGAACGAGAAGAAACGACGTTCCCTTCTGTCAAACGACGTGACGCAAATTTGACAGTCGGAGGAGATAATTTCCGAAGAGAAAATTGGCATACTTCGTTTGCTAATTTTTGCATGGTATAATTATTCGTTCGCTCGTGAAAACATGATCCTTCGCTTAGGTTTATGCGTGTGTATTTGGTAACCGAATTTTTTCCACCGACCACTTTTTCTTCTCGTACTGCGATTCATACGCGTGCAGAGATAAATATTGTCACAGTTTGCAGGGACGCGTACGCGAGGCGAAAACTAATCTAATCGAAACATCGGTTGTTATTTCACGAAGTCAGCGTTCCGGCTGGCGAGTTCGTTACATCGTGATTCTAAATTTCGCTATTTTCTTTTGTAATTGGTAAACGTTGAAAATACTCGATTGCTTGGCCACTGAGAGGATCGCGATTTGTCGATTCTCAGGTAAATATTTTCGTTCCCCCCCGGCATAGTGCTTCATTCGCTTCGTATATCATTTTATAATACGTATAATTGTTTGTTCAAAGGCGATGGAACGTATCGTCTGAATCGAAATTACCGGTTTAAGAAACATTTCCTTCTATATGTAGGAGTTCCAACCTTTTCTTTTTGGTATTTTTGTATGGAGAAATATTCTAAAATTATTTCTGCACCATAGGATTATTTGATATTTGTTAATTTCGAGTGGATTTTAATTATAACTACAGGTTGTTGGTGCGTTGGGTAGATAATTATAATTATAGGTAATTGAATGTATTTGGTAATCTGTCTAGTGGATAGAAGGTTTTAAAATGACTACATACACTTTTCTCAAATATTGGATTACTTGATGTCAATTATAACTTCGATAAAAGTTTCGTCAGTTACAAAGCGAACTATTAATGTATATTTTATAAATAATATGAAATATAAGTATTCATTTTTTCAACCAATTAATTTTTCTCGAGTCGCCACACGATTCCTTGAAAAATCACCCCATATGGTCTCGAATTATTCTAGTAAAAATGGAAAAAGAAAAAGTAAAAGTAAAAGTACCAGCAGGCATAGCTTTTAACCAAATATATCCATTTGTCAATCTTTTCTAGCAAAATTTCTTTCATAGAACCAATTAATTTTCGTTGAGTCTCTATTTTATTCTTTAAAATATCACCCCTTATGGCCTCAAATTATTATACTAGAAGAGAAAACAAAATTTTAAATGAAAGTATCAGCAGACATAGCTTTTAACCAAATATATCCAATTGTCAATCTTTTCTAACAAAATTCCTTTCATAAAATCAATTAATTTTATGTTAAGTCACCACACGATTCCTTAAAAGACCACCCCTTATAGCCTGGAATTATTACGCTAAAAAGAGAAAAAGAAAAATTAAAAATAAAATTAACAGTACACATAGCATTTAACCAAGTATATCGAATTGTCAACCTTCTCTAAGAAAATTCCTTTCATGAAACCAATTAATTTTCGTTGAGTCACTACACGATTCTTTAAAAGAATCTTTTCTTAAAGCCTCAAATTATCACGTTAAAGTAGAAAATAAAAAATAAATTGAAATATTAACAAACGTAGTATTGGACTAAATACATCAATTATGAATCTTCTCTAACAAAATTCCTTTTTCACAGCCGCCTAATTTACATCGAACCACCACACGATCCCTCAAAAAGCCACCCCTTAAATCTCACTTCTTCAAACAGTTATATCAAAGAAAAGGAGAAATGAAAAAGAAAGGGAAGAGTGAAAACAGCAATAAACGTAGCATTGAAATAAATATACCCAATTCACGAGCTCCTCTAACAAAATTCCTTTCACACAATGAAGTGACTTAGACCAAGCAACCGATGAAAAGTCTCGTACCGAGGAACCCCTGAAGCAACGTTCGTATTCCGAACAGCATGAAACGTTGGAAAGCAATCCTCTTTCAATCGGAAGTCAAGTTTCGTGTTACCTGGGAGCAGGTGTCATTAAACAAGCGATGCAACGATGGAAATTCTCGATCGTCGGTAAGCGTTCACCGGCGTCGCGATAAAAGTTCACCGGATCGGATAAATTCATGAATGTTAGATGCCTGTTGCCCTGAGAGGCGCGCGCGATCCGTGAAGCGTATCACAATTCCCGTGGCCCGACGGGGGTCGACTCGCCTCGAATCGATCCCGATGAATATTTAATTCACGATCCCGGTAAACGGCGTGCTCGCGCCACGCGTCATGTCGCGAGCAACTGCGCGCAGTTTTTTCACCCTCTGAATCAGGATTCCGCGAGAAATTTGCAGCTGCAATTGTCATGCGTTATCTCTCTGCCTGTCTGGTTAGACTCGGTCTATACTAGACAGCGAAATTTCAGGGGAATTTTAGAGGTCGTCGCAGAAGAGGGTTGAAGGGATGTCACCCCTGTGTAAGAAATTAAGACATGACACTTAATGGAAGGGCTTTATTTACGCAAGGGGGGGGGGGCTAGGGGTCCGTGAGGGGAAAGCTTCGTCTCATAGTCTAGTCGCAAACGAACTGCTTTTTCAGGGGGTAGTTTAAGTATTCGAGGTGGTGGGGCACTGATAGCGAAGGCATAAGTCAGGACCCCAATTGACTCGGGGCCCTTGATGTCTCTAGAATGATGATGGTATTTTACGAAATCAGATAGTAGATGCATTGCAATAATTTCAGAATTTTATTGTATCGAAATTGTTATAGAATTTATAATTCCTCTTCTGTATTTTGAATTTATTGCATATGTATGTGGACCCCAATTAATTCGAAGCCCCGATGTCTCTAGGATTGGAAATACCTAAGCTTCTCTTTCCCGGATTAACGGATGCGTTCCTATAGGGTGAAGTGAGTTTCATGGTGATGGTATTTTACAAAATTAGATATTAGATGCGTTGCAATAATTTTAGAATTTTATTGCAACGAAATTGTTATAGAATTTATAATTCTTCTTCTGTAATTTGAATTTTGAATTTATCGCATATGTATGTGGACCCCAATTAATTCGGGACCCCCGATGTCTCTAGGATTGGAAATACCTAAGCTTCTCTTTCCCGGATTAATGAATGCGTTCCTATAGGGCGAAGTGAGTTTCATGGTGATGGTATTTTACAAAATCAGATATTAGATGCATTGCAATAATTTTAGAATTTGATTGCAACGAAATTGTTATAGAATTTATAATTCTTCTTCTGTAATTTGAATTTTGAAT